GGGGGGGGCGGGGGTCTCATGGGGGTCGAGGGGCTTACTGATGGGAGAGGGGCAGTTAGAGCCCAGGGGGGTCCCCTCTCCAGAGCAGGTGGCCCGGGCTGGGTCGCCCAGAGGCTGGCGTATAGCCAGGTCTCCGGTTTGACTCCCTGCTGTCCGATCCCGGCCTCCGCCCCATGGTCTCTGTCGCCAGGGCGGCCCCACATTTGCATGTGTCCCGCGGCTGTGGGTTTCAGAGGGCGCCAGGCAAATGAGGCTGAAGAGGCCTCTTCCCCTCCCAGGCCTGGGACACCCCTGCCCTCCCCCCTCCCATGCCCTGGGAGAGGACGTGTCTCTCGAGGACCCCGCGGCAGAGCCTCACCCAGGCTGGCAGGGCCCTCCAGGCAGGCACACGCTGGCGGAGGTCCCTGAGGACCCGGGTGACGATGACACACAGTGGAAGTCCACTGGCGCGAGCCTAGGGAGAAGCAACGGTCGGCTCAGGGACCCCTCGAAATCCATGGGGCGGCAGGTGCTGTCCTGAGTGTGAAGGACCCAGGACCACCCTGGGGATCCCAGAGCCCGGCTGGCCTGGAAGGTGGTATGTCCCTGTCTCTAGGCCTGTGGTCACTCCTTCCAAGTTTCTCAACTCAGTTGGCCAGGAGCCAGCCTTGGTCAGGCCAGCACTTGGTAAGAACAAGCAGGGCCGGGTGTGGTGGCTCATACCTGTCATCCCAGCACTTTGGGAGGCCGAGGGAGGAGAATCGCTTGAGCCCAGGAGTTGGAGACCAGTCTGGGCAACATGGCGAGACCTCATCTCTACAAAAAAAATCAAACATTAGCCGGGCATGGTGGCGCCTGTATTTCCAGCTACTCGGGAGGCTGAAGCGGGAGGATGGCCTGCGTCCAGCAGGTGGAGGCTGTGGAGAGCTGTGATCACACCACTGCACTCCAACCTGGGCCATAGAACAAGAGTCTGTCTCAAAAAAATTTTTAAAAGAGCGAGACATGAGCCAGTGAGCTGCCCGTGGCATCCCCGTCTGTGGGAGTCCATGAGGCTAGAGCTAACGTGTGGGCCCCTCAGCCTGGGACGCCGCCCTCCCCGCCCCCCCGACCTGGAACCACTTGGCATGACGGAGGGCAGCTAGTGACTCCAGGCACTTCTCGGGGCTCAGGACATCCTCCGGGTCAGGCCGCAGCTTTTCCGTTCCTTCTAGAAGAAGAGTGAGTGTGAGTCCTCATTCCGTGCTGCTCCCACCTGGGCAGGTGACTCAGGTGGGCCCCCTAGGCCTGGGAGCCTCATTGTATTTGTCTGGGAAACGCTGGTTCCCCCCAGCTGTCCTTCCGGGATGCGGCGGGTCCTTCAGCGCAGGTTAGACATAGAGAGATGAATTTCCTACTGGCGGCTCGAAAAATGGGCTGGGCACAGTGGCTCATGCCTGTCATCCCAGCACTTTGGAGGCTGAGGGGGGAGGATCACGGAGGCCTGGAGTTTGAGGCCAGCCTGGGTGATACAGTGACATAGTGACACCTTGTTGCTACAAAAAATAAAAAAATTAGCCGGGTATGCTGGCCCGCACCTGTAGTCAAGAGGTCAAGGCTCTGAACAACCATGATAGCGCCACTGCACCCCAGCCTTGGCGGCACAGAGTGATGCTCAGACTCCAAAACAAAATTAAAATAGGGTAAGTGTCCAGACATCGATTATTATTATGATTATTTTTTTGAGTCAGAGTCTCACTCTGTTGCCCAGGCTGGAGGGCAGCAGCATGCTCGCGGTCACCCCAGCCTCGACCTGCTGGGCTCCGGCGATCCTTCCGCCTCAGCCTTCCGAGTAGCTGGAACTACAGCTGCGTGCTACCACACCCAGCCAATTTTTTTTGATTTCTTGGAGAGATGAGGTCTCGTCAAGTTGCCCAGGTGGGTCTCGAACCCGTGGGCTTCAGGAAATCCCCTCACCTCAGCCTCTCAAAGTGCTGGGATTATAGGCTTGAGCCACCATGCCTGGCCCATCCATCTTACTTATGGGTACATGACCTTCACCCAACTGACCGGGCACACTGGCCCTGACCACCTCGCAGGATGGAATGTGGGCCTACGAGTGCAGTAGGTCACAGAAACAGGAAATTACCCCAGACACAGATACGATGTTCTAAGAAAAGCCCAGGTCTAGTTGGACAGTAACACTCATTATTTAGAAGGTCCCTGTGGACTTAAAAACTGGAGAGACGGTCGCCAAAACTCATGCGCAGACACGTGCAGTCCCCGTGCTTGGCTCATGGTTGGCTTAAGCATCGTCAAAGTAGATAAAGCTTCCCATCAAAGGCAAGCATGTGCCCTCTCTTAAGGTGTCCACGCTCTCCCTTAAGCATGCCTCTTTCTTTTCTTTTTTCTTTCTTTTTTGGAGTCAGAGTCTCACTCTGTCACCCATGGTGGAGCACAGTGCTTCAGTCACAGCTGACTGCAGCCTCCAAGCCCCAGGTTCAGGCAATCCTCCTGCCTCAGCCTCCTGAGTAGCTGGGACGACAGGCACCACCGTGCCTGGCTCATTTACTAGTTTCTGTAGAGACGGGGTCCTGCTATGTTGCCCACGCTGGTCTCGAACTCCTGGGCTGAAGCAATCCTCCCGCCTTGGCCTCCCAAAGTCGATTCATTGCTAAAGCTTAAGTTTTTTGGTCTTTTTTTAAAAGAGAGCCTTTGAACCCTAAGTGGCGAGCCTCTATTTATTTGAGTTGGAGTCTGACCCGACTGGCCAGGCTGTCGTACAGTGACATGCTCATAGCTCACTGCAGCCTCCAACTCCTGGCCTCAAGTGATCCTCCCACCTCAGCCTCCTGAGTAGCGGGGACTACAAGCATGCACCACCATGCCTCGGTGATTTTCGTTTCTATTTTTTTTATAGGCAAGGTCTTGCTCTGTCACCCAGGCTGGAGTGCAATGGCATGACCATAGCTCACTGGGGCCTCAACCTCCTGGGCCCAAGAAATCTCTAAATAGTCATCTAAAAAGTAAAAACAGTGGGGAAAAATAATGCCTATTACTTCGAGCCAAAGGCCCTGAAGCAAACATATGAGGAGGAGACAGGACGGTGGGGGTGGGGGAATGGCCACCAGATGGTGGCTCTTTCCTGGCCTGGGTGGATGATTAAGAGCCCGGAAATCCTTTGGTGAGGACCCATCTTAGACAGGCAGCCCCATGAGCCGTCCCAGGAGACCGCACTTCCTGTCAGCCCTTCCTGACCTGGTTTCCCCTCCCCAGGCCCGGAGTGGTAGGTAGGTGAGCTTCTGAAACCCACTTTCCAGGCCAGATGTGGTGGCTCACGCCCGTCATCCCAGCACTTTGGGAAGCTGAGGTGGGAGGATCGTCTGAGGCTAGGGGTTTAAGACCAGCCTGGACAACACAGCGAGACCCCGTTTCTACAAAAATTAAAAGGAGTACAAGGATGACAGGAGTTTGGAAGACAGTCCTAGTATCTGTTCTAGAAGATTCTGTGGCTGGCTGAGACTCTGGTGAGCACAGAAGTGCGGTGTGTTCCTGATGCCTGCCTCTGCTGTGGTCAGCGATCAAGGCCCTCACTCTCCGGCCTAGCCCAGCCTCGTGGCTCACCCTCCCAGGTGTGGCAGGTCCAGCTTCAAGCCCCCGAACTCCCACGTCCCCAACAGCGGCACTGGGTCCCTCGGGGTCAGCTGTGGCCGCCGTGATGGATGAACAGAGGCAAGCGGAGCTTGCATCATGACCCGAAGGAAACATTCAGACCTGCCTGTGGCCGGGGAACTGGCCTCACCAAGGGCAGGGAAGTGGCACTGGTCTGGTACGTGGGAAGATGACACAATGCACCCACAGTCCAGGCTCTGAGCCCCGTGACACTCTGTCACTGATTCCGTGGACCCCAAGTCCCAGCTCATGTGTGACCCATGGGATCCAGGGGTTGGAGGCTCCGGGAGGCTGTTGCTGCAGCCTTCCCCGCCAGGGCTTGGGCATAAGCGGGGCCCCGCGGAGGGTGGGGGCAGTGGCTGGACAGAAGGGCCGGGCCGCACCTTGGTCCGTGGAGGGGTCCTCTCGCATCAGGGGTGAGGTGACAGACACCGTGACCTGCATCCGGGGCTCCTTGCAGGAGGAGATGACAACATTGGCTTCAGGGTCAGAGGAGACCTTGTACTCATCCTCGGTTACCACCTGGGAGACGTGAACACAGCACAAGGCCCCGTCACACTGGCCCAGAGTCACGTGTAAATGAGTAATGGCATGGGTGGCACGTCCCACTTCACACCGGTGCCCTGTGCTTGCTGACTGGGTACCAGGCCTGGTGCTATGCGTCTGGTACCTCCAAGTGACCAGGACCCAGCCCCAGCCCTCCAGGAGTGCACAACTGTAGAGATACATACAGACAACGGGCCCTGCAATATAAGGAGCCTCCATATGTAAAGACGCCCGTAATTCAATAACAACAAGACCAGAAATCCAATAAAAAGCTGGTGAGTGAAATAACAGATACTTGGCAGAGAAACAAACACAAATGCTCCTTTTACACAATGACACAAATTACTCCCACAGTCAGAGAGAAGCAAATTAAAACTATAATGTGCTTATGCCTGTAATCCCAGCACTTTGGGAGGCTGAGGCAGGAGGAATGCCTGAGCCCAGGAGTTTGAGACCAGCCTAAGCAACATAGTGAGACCCTTGCCTATACAAAAAATCAAATAATTAGCCAGGCGTGGTGGCACGTGCCTGTAGTCCCAGCTACTCAGGAGGCAGAGGCGGAAGATTACTTGAGCCCAGGAGGTTGAGGCTGCAGTGGCGATCATGATGCCACTGCACTCCAGCCTGGGCGACAGAAGGAGACTCTGATTGAAAAAAAAAAAAAAAAAAAGAACCACCACCACCAAACAAACCTATAATGAGACGCCACTGTCACCCGAGAAGGTCAAAGCTCGGGAGGTTTGTGTGGCAGCTCAGCCTCCCTGTTCTCCACTGTCTATGCCGCCTGCATTCATGCCTGAGCCCAGCCTCCCTCCTGAAACCCGTCTCCCCACTCCAGCCCTCCCCCACACAGAGGCTTCCTGCGGCTGGGTGACCCCTGGGGCCCCGCCTCCGTTAGCGGGGTGGGTGCCGCCAGCACTCTGGAAGCCTCAGCCATCTTCATGGGGCTCAGAAGCTATGTTTGTACTAGGCTGAGAATTTTGCAGAAATTCTCTGAGCCATCTCTGCCCGCCCCCAACAGTATCCAGCAGTGACATGTCAAGTCACAGGTGCTCAGGAAATGTGTGATTAAGTAACTGAAGTCTTGAACTCCTAGCCTCAAGCCATCCACCTGCCTCGGCCTCCCAAGTAGCTGGGACTGCAGGTGCCACCACACTTGGCTCACTTTGTCATTGTTTGTAGACATGGGGTCTCGGTCCCAGGCTGGAGTACAGTGACAAAAATCAAAGTTCGCTGCAGTTTGGATCTCCTGGGCTCAAGCTGACCCTCCCGCCTTGGCCTCCCAAGTAGCTGGGATTATAGGTGACACCGCACTTGGCTCATTTTTTTCTTTGTTTGTAGAGACAAGGCCTCGCTGTGTTGCCCAGGCTGGTCTCGAACCCCTGGGCTTAGGGGATTCTCCCACCTGGGTCTCCCAAAGTGCTGGGACGACAGCTGTGACTGGTTTCCAGGTGCGACGCCTCCTGGTCCTTGCAGCTGGCAGAGATAAGGGCCCCACGGTCTGGGAGCCCGCAGCCTCTGGGGAGGGGGCCGGTGGGGGTAGGCGCCCCCTTACCCGGAGCTGCAGGGGCAGCTGCTCCGTGATTCTCCGCAGCAAGCCACGCGTGGGCTTCTCCGAGCAGAGGAGGGCCAGGTGCACACTCCTGTCACCCCGCAGCAGGAGGCCCTTCGCCAGGACTCCGACCCGCACGACGCCTTTCAGGACCCGGGACGAGGGGGTCGCGCCGCTGTGGAGACAAAGCCACAGCGGCGTCCTCAGGGCCCAGGCGGAAGCACCCCGGCCGCCCCCGTGTCCACGAGCTACCAGACCGGCCACTGGTGAGGCCTCTCTCTTCATCGGTGAAATGGGACCATGGCCCTTCACCGATGCATCTAAGAGGCACCACCGTGCATGCCTCAGGGTGACTGAGAGGTGCGGTCAGTCCCGTCTTTTCCTCTTTTTTCTTTTTTGAAATAGGGTCTTGCGGTGTTGCCCAGGCTGGAGTACAGTGGCACGGTCACAGCTCCCGGCAGCCTCGACCACCTGGGCTCAAGCGATCCTCCCACCTCAGTCTCCTGAGCACTGGGACGACAGGCGCCACCATGCCAGGCTCACTTTTGTACTTTTTGTAGAGACGAGGTCTCACCATGTTGCCCAGGCTGACCTCGAACTCCTGGGCTCAAGCGAGCCTCCCGCCTCGGCCTCCCTGAGTGTGTGACCATAGGTGTGAACCCCAGCACCTGTCCCCCTCTCCACCACGGTGGTTCATGAGCGCCGAGCCCCAGGCCTGCCCCTGAGTCCTGACGGCTCTGCTGTTCAAAGACTTTCCTCATCAGGCATTGGCTTTTAAGTTCACCCTGACTCCAGGGACAACAGAAAGAATTCCCGCTCTGTTCTCTTGCCTCCCTGGGGAAGGAAAACCCACACCTGAGTAGACGCTGAGACTGGCCGAGGCTCTCAGGCTTTTGCGGGGAGTGGGGTCCCAGGTGTGGGTCACGCTGGGACATGGAATGATCCACCTGGGTGTGGCCCTCACCTCCCCCTACACAGAGCAAGCCCCGGTGGGAGGAGACTGCCAGATACACGAGGACACACAGCGTGTGACTCCATTTCTGTGCGACTTCTGCACAGGCCAGTCCACAGAGACAGGACGAGACTCGTGGGTGCCGGGGCTGGGGGGCGGGGGATGAGGAGTGAGTGGTCTATGGGGCAGCGATCCAGTTAGGGAAGAGGACAAAGTTTTGGAGACGACAGTGGTGACAGTTGCACAGCAGCGTGCAGGCACTTAAGGCCGCTGAGCTGTGCACTTAGACATGGTTAAGCTGGTGAGTTCTATGTTCTATGCATTTTGCCACAACAGAAAAACACTGGCCAGGCTTGGTGGCTCAGCCTGTCATCCCAGCACTTTAGGAGGCCTAGGTGAGTGAATTGCCAGAGCCCGCGGGTTCAAGACCCACCCGGGCAAGTTGGGGAGACCTTGTCTCTACAACCAATCAAAAATGAGCCGGGCGTGGTAGCGTGCACCTGTAGTTCTGGCTACTTGGAAGGCTGAGGTGGAAGGATCGCAAGAGCCCAGAAGGTCAACACTGGGGTGGCCGTGAGTGTGTCACGGCACTCCAGCCTGGGTGACAGAGTGAGACTCCAACTCAAAAAAAGAAAAGAGAAGAAAAGCATTAAGAAGGAGAAATGAGACTGGGTACGGTGGCTCATGCCTGTAATCCCAGCGCTTTGGGAGGCTGAAGCAGGAGGATTACTGAAAACTAAGAGTTTAAGACCAGCCTAGGCAACAAAGCAAGACCCCGTCTCCATTAAAATAATAATAAAAATAATTAGCCAGGTGATGCACACCTGCAGTCCCAGCTACTTGGGAGGCTGAGGAGGGAGGATCACTTGAGCCCAGGAGTTCGAGACTGCAGTGAGCTATGATCACTCCACTGCACTCCAGTTTGGGCGACAGAGTGAGGCCCTGACTCAAAAAAAAAGAAAAAGAAAATTTAAAAATGAGCCAGGCATAGTGGCTACTCAGTAGACTGCGTTGGGAGCATCCCTTAAGCCCAGGAGTTCGAGACTGCAGTGAAATATGAATGCTCCACTGTACTCTAGCCTGGGCAACAAAGCCAGATCTGTCTCTAAAAAATAAAAATGAAAGAGAAGCTGTCAGGCAGAGAGGAGGGGCCTGCAGCAGCAACTCCTCTGGGTGACTGAACTCGATCATGGTGACGTGGAAGACAGAGGCGCTTTCTCCTTTCTTGATGATTCCTTACGGCTCTGAGCGACCCAGACGCCCCTGAGACAGAGAAGTCAGCTTAGAATCCCGCTGGGCTCCTTCCGCAGCCAAGGAAACTGAGGCAAGAGGTGGTCACGCCCACCTGGACTGTGTCTTTATCTTATTTATTTATATTTTTGTAGAGACGAGGTCTTGCTATGTTTCCCAGGCTGGTCTCGAACTCTAGGACTCAAGTAATCCTCCTGCCTTGGCCTCCCAAAGTGCTGGGATTTCAGGCATGAGCTGCCATGCCTAGGTTGAATTTTTTGTTTCTTTGTTTTTTGAGTCGGGGTCTCACTCTGTTGCCCAGGCTGAGTGCAGTGGCACAATCATAATAATCACAGCTCGGGGCAGCCTCGACCTCCTGGGCTCAGGTGATCCACCTGTCTCATCCTCCTGAGTAGCTGGAACTACAGGTGCCACCACGCCTGGCTCATTTTTGTGTAGCGATGAGGTCTCGCTATGTTGCCCAGGCTAGTCTCGATCTCCCGGGCTCAAGCGATCCTCCTGCCTCAACTTCCCAAAATGCACCTGGCCAGATCCTGCTTTTGGATGCTCCTGGCAAGGGACTGTGTGGTGTCAGAACAACACCCGTCACCAGCAACAGCTCAGTCTCACTCGGAGCCGGGAGGCCCAAGCACTGAGATTTGGAGCCCTCCCACTCATGAGGCCAGAAAGCCCCGAAGCCCCCCGAGGGGACGGGCAAGACCCCCACAGACCTGCGCTGGTCACCCTGCTCCTCCTGGCTCTCCCGGGCCAGCGCATCAGACACCAGCCTGAGGGCACGCTCCGTGTGGGCCACGGCCCTCGTCACGGCCTGCAGCTCCTGCTCCGTGGGGTAGATGGTCGCGTGCTTGCACATGACGTGTCGGTCGTCGCTGGACTCCGGCCGCCGCCCGGGCTGTGGGAGAGGCCAGGTAGGTCATGGGCACTGAGGAGTCCTAGGGACCCGGCGGGCAGGGAATGTGGGAGGGGGGCCAGGACCAGGTTGGCTTCGGGGAGTGATGGACAGGTGGGTGCCAGTGGCCTGGCCGGCCTGGTGGAGGGCCAAGCTGGGTTCTGGGGGCCTCCTCTGATGGCTGCGGGGCATTCAGGTCTCAGTGGGGGGTAGCGGGGAGCCCCTTTGGCAATTTTTTGTGCCTTTGAGCCAGGGCTTGGCTCTGTCGCCCACACTAGCTTGCAGTGCTGGGTGACCTCCTCACAGCTCACTGCGGCTTCCAACGCCTAGGCTCAGGAGAGCCTCCCATCCCAGCCTCCTGAACAGATGGCACCACAGGTGTACACCACCACACCTGGCTAATTTAAAAAAAATTTTTTTTGTAGAGATGGGTCTCGCTATGTTGCCCAGGTCTCAAACTCCTGACCTCAAGTGATCCTCCAGCCTCAGCCTCCTGAATAGCTGGGATTACAGGCGCTACCACACCTGGTCTTTTGGAACTATTCTCACATTTCCGGGTCAGAGGCTTTTGAGTAAACACAGGGGCCTCCCCCTGCAGCAAGATGCAGATTTAAGGTTTGCATTCAGGCCAGCACGGTGGCTCAAGCCTGTAATCTCGCACTTTGGGAGGTGGAGGCCAGAGGACTGCCTGAGCTCAGGGGTTTGAGACCAGCCTGAGCAATGTGGCGAGACCCTGTCTCTACGAGAAATAAAAAAATCTGTTGAGCGTACACGCCTGTAGTTCCAGCTCCTTGGAAGGCTGAGGCAGAAGGATGGCCGGAGCCCAGCTGGTCGAGGTTGCGGTGGCCACGAGCAGCGTGCCACTGCACTCCAGCCTAGGTGACAGAGTGAGACTCCGACTCAAAAAAAAAAGGTTTGCTTTCGACCTTGGGGTTCAGTGGCCCAGAGACAGGTGCATCTGAGAAGGGACAGCAGTTGCCTGAGGCTCCGCAAAGCGCGTGACACCGGGGACCTCGGGAAGCCCATCTGTGGTGTGAGGGGCTGGGAGTGGACCCGACGGCCCCAAGCGCCACACGGGAGTCTTGGAAGAGGCCCGGTCCCTCCAGTGAGGAGGTCGACTGGCCTCTGCCCTCCGGACCCTCCACCTACCAGGGGCGGCGCAGTGGGGGGTGCAGGAGCGGGCTGGTCAGACGGCGCAGGCGATGACTGCTCCTCCCTGGGCGGCGCCTCCTCCCGCTGCCTGCAGGAAGCAGAGGGGACGTGGCGTGGTCAGGCCACAGGCCCCGCCTGGCACACCAAGGTGCCCTGACTCGTGGCCCCCACATGAGGCTGGGGCTCCCACAGGGCCCTGCCAGGCTCTCGCTGGGTTCTGTACAAGCACCTGTTGTATGCACGGGGAGACTGACGCTGGTTAGGGTGGGGGCTAGCCGACGTCACACCTGGGGGGCAAAGAGGCCCAGGCTGGTGGCCACAGCCCTCGGGCTACCCTGGCTCCTTCTGGGCAGATGTGCCACCGCCAGGCCCTTCTCAAGCCAGTGTCAAGGTCAGGAGGTGCTTTGGGGTGGTTTCCAAGGGCGGAGGAGGAAGATGACAAAGTGTGTCGACAGCCAGGGACACAGGGGACACCAGAGGTCAGGGACACAGGGGACACTGGTCAGGGACACAGGGGACACCGGGGTCAGGGACACAAGAGACCCCAGGGGTCAGGGACACAGGGGACACCAGAGGTCAAGGATACAGGGGACATCAAGGGTCAGGGAAACAGGGGACTCCAGGGTCAGGGACACAGGGGACACTGGGATCAGGGGACACAGGATACCAGGGTCAGGAGACACAGGAGACCCTAGAGTCAGGGGACATGGGACCCCGGTGATCAAGGACACAGGGGACACTGAGGTCAGGGACAAAGGGGACACCATGATCAATGGACACCAGGATCAGGGGACAGACACCAGGGTCAGGGAGTGCAGCAGACACTGGAGAGTCGGGGACACAGTGGACACTGGGGGGTCAGAGAACACAGCAGACACCGGGGTCAGGGGACGCAGTGGATATTGGGGAGTCGGGGATGCGGTGGACACTGGGACGTCAGGGGACATGGTGGACACCGAGGTCAGGGGACACCGGGTGACTCTGCGGCCCTGCTGTCTCTGTGAACGGCAGAGCGCTCTCTGTGGTGGCCATGGCTCCCGCGTCAAGGGTCAGCCACGGCGGTGGCGCCTGACCCATCCCCACTGTCCCCTGCCCCTCTCCGGCCCCAGGTTGTGGGCTGACCAGGGGCTGACCAGGGGCCCACCAGGGGTCCACC